CAGATCACGACGGTCTCACCAATGATGATGATACAGGTATTCAGTGTTTGACAACGCTTCTACCAGTAACACCTTCTAATATGCTCTGTTCCCACCGAGAGAAATCAAAAGACAGAGTCGAGGAGATCGGAAGAGTGTATTTGGCGATAACCAATATTTCGGGAATCTCTGATCTAGTCTGGCTAGTGATTGCGATTGTTGTTGAGTACAGCGTGACAGCACGTGATCTGGTGCGGATGCATGACCGAGCGCCTTCAGCTAGATGAGTCCAATAAAACATATGGTCAGCATCCAATGTCGAAAACCTATAGAGCTATTTGGTTTGGGGATTTTTTACTGCTACAACTTTCTTCTTCCGATGTAAACTGAATGGCTGGATGCACTTCATTAAATCGCCTAAGAAGCTGTTGCGGCGACGTATTATCTTTACAGAGGATGAACGTGTCATCCACGTATCTACAGTAAAATGTGAAGTTGCGAATAATCTTTTTTAGTGGACCATTTTCCAGTTTGGCCAGAAATATATCAGCTATATAAGTCATATCAACATTAATAATTTTATTGTATTTTGTTTATCACAATCCTAAATTCACATGCTCTAAACGATGTACTTTGCCCTTAACCTGGCCATTTTTTCGGATTATTAATTTGGATATATAATTGTAGAACCGGAAGAGAATTTATCGAAAAGAATATTGTTCGTTCACCTACTAGTCTTTTAATATGACGGGAATCTTTAAACAATTACTTCAGTATTATTTTCTTTACGTTTTTTATATTTGTCAATAAACTTTTGTGGGTAATAGTTGTCTCGTATGCATTTTTGTACGTTCATCAATTCTTCTTTCAGCTTATCAGTGATACATATCTTTTTTGCTCCATAAAATAGTGTTTTAACTAGTGCCTTCTTGTAGCTGAGTGGACAAAACTATTGAAATTCAAGTAAAGGCCATTCCAAGTACTTTTTCGATAAAGCGAACGTTGGACTGTCCCGTCTCTCCTACGTTTTATAGCAACATCAAAAAAGTGGAACATGTCATTCTGTTCGTGTTCCATAGTAAATTGTATGTTAGGATGTGCATCATTGAAGAGTTCTAGTAGGTGGATTGCATGCTGTTTATTGTTGCAGACAATGAACGTGTCATCAACATGTCTGGAATATTCTGTCGTTTCGCTAATCGCCTGATTAAGCACCATGTTTTCAAGATACCCCATAAAAATATCTACCAGAATTGGACCTAGTGGGCTTCCCATTGCTACGCCGTCGATTTGACGATATATGGTGTTATTAAACTGGGATTGAACGTCTGTTGTGCACATTAATAGTAGTTTTTTGAATTCTGGGGCTGGTAAAGGTAGATTATAATTCTGACAAATTATATCAATAGTTTCAAAAAGTGGTTTATTGGTGAACAAGGATGTGACATCAAAAGAAACCATGAACTTATCGGCAACATTCGTACGATTTAGTCTATCAGCAAACTGGAATGAATCTTTTAACGTATATGTTGCTAATCTCCGACGAATCGGCTCTAGTTTTACTGCTAACCACCGTGCAACTTGATGATACGGTGAGTTGATCATTGATAGGATAGATCTAAGGGGAACGTCGTGCTTGTGAACTTTTGGTAAACCATACATATGAAGCAGACGTGAACCACGTGGTCTTAGATCATTGTAAGTAGAATTATCAATCATTTTCTTTTTTAGGAGTTCTCAAAGCATACCTGTGATTCGTTTTTCTGTTGAATCAGTCAAAACGTTTTTGGATTTATCTACTTTGAACCTCAGTTGATCGTCAAGGATTGACTTCATCTTAGTGATATAATCAACTGTATTCATTAGGACGACACCTGAACCTTTATCTGGTCGTAAAATCATCACCTCATTATTTTGTTACATGTTTCTGATGGCTATTAGATGTTCTTTGGATAGAATATTGTACGAACCCTTTTTGACTGCGCACGTAAAATTTGCTCAAAGGAATGCCTGGCACAAGAAATTGCTCCCATCACTAAGTGTCTACGTCAAAATACATATCCGGCGAAATTCATCCATTAATATGCAAATACCAAACCACGAGTAAAGTATGACAGAGTGGAAAAGAAAACTTGCTAATACTTACGCTTTAAAGGAGATGAAATTACTGAAATAATTAATCACAGAATAAATTCTGCGGTGAAACTGATCTACCCAACAGCAAAACTGACGATGGTATGAGAAACGAACTGCTTATTCAAATAAACTAAAATCGACAAGTCCTTTTTTCACAGTAGCTACAACTGCATTTATCAATTCACATGTACGAGCCAAAGCACATACACTGGGAGAACTGAGAGAATATATGTTCGCATTTCTGAGCATGTTGCAAAGAAATTGAGGCCGCGAGGGACTAAGGCTCTCAACAGTGCAATAGCTCGGCATTTACTTGACACCGGTCATACCATTGACATCTCTCATGCTTTTAAAATGATTAACAAACAAAGAAGTATGGCTGCTCTCTGTTTTGCTAAAGCGATCGCGATATAAAAACTTAAGCCGGATCTATGTATTCAGAAAGAGACAGTAATAAACTTATTACTAACTTGGTAATTCATTTTTTTTTCGTGTTTGGTTATTAGTTTTATTTTGTTAATAATTATTTTATGTTATATTCTTCTCGCATTACCTAATTCTTAAACCACCGCATCACTCATAAATGACCATTCACTGAATTCTCTTAAATTATGTGAACTCTTCAAACTCTATTCAGTTATAACGTAATCCATCTGATCAGTTTTATTTTAATTCCATGAATCCTTCATTACTTTTAAAATTATCACACAATTTATCTTATCTATCTCTGAACTTCAATCGACTATTAAACTACCCATCTTTAATGTTTCCTTAATTCCAACACCTAATAATCTTTGATCTGTTCTTGCACTTAGATATTTGTTGTTATCTCAATGTGAAATTCTAATTTATATTTAGTTGTAAGCAACTAATTGCATGAAATTTTTTTTATTGAGAAGGCTTTATTAGCTTTTTTATATTTTTAATGAGAAACCTTTCAATATTTAGTATGAATATAGAGCTAATAAATCAATGTTTATTCAATGAGATCAAATTACATTCTTTTGCATAGTGTAGGAATGAATTTGTTCTACAGATATTCTACTAGAATTGTAAACACGATATTGACGATCTCGGAGTCTATGTGAAAGTTATCGAGTCAGAACAATGACAACATGGATTTAAACTTTAACTATTTTTTCTAAATGTAAAAAACAATTTAGGAAATTCTAATTATTAAGTAGAATGTATAAAAAACATACCAATCTGTATTACGTGTCTTATCGAAATGATTAAAACAAAATTTCATGAGTCATACTAATATAATAAGATGATTATGTTCTTCAATTGGTAGGAGACATAGCAACAAGGATCAGTCTACGCACACATTAGACTAGATTGACGTAATGGGTATTTAAGCAACAATTTGATTGGTTTGTTATGGATATAACTAATGTTTATAGAGTGAAATGCCTTTTGTAGTCAGTCCATTGTATTAAATTACATCAAAATATTCATCAACTGTGCTTGTGATATAATCGATTCTAATGTGAAAAAAACTTCATATTAGCTTATACATAGTTTGTATGGAATTTTTAAATGTCACAAATATTTGATATTATATAATAACATGAATTAATGACTCATCATCAGTGACGTATGTAAAGACTGTAGGCTTTAGGTTGATATTAGCACACTTATTTATTCAATTTGAATAATAATACTAAAGCCCCTAGATGCTCTGGTACAGCGAAGAGTTCGCTCTTCTTTTCGAAATCCTCTCACATAGCCACGCGTATACAACCACTTCCGGGGACGTACTACTCATTGCATCCTCGCGACGACGGTGTTGTTTACGAAATTAAGAGAGCGAAAAGCGAATGTCTCGCGAATTAATCGGGTTGGTGAATATGGTGGATCCACCTAGGTGGGTTGCAAAACCTTGATACCAAACAAATGATACACGTGAGCTTCAGGATCCTGAGGGACCAAATGGAGTATGAACCCATCGTTGGTCACCGGATACCATGAGAATGCATCTTCTGTTGTCTCTCCACTGTCTTATGAATTAGACTTTTAGGTCGAACGCTCCGGGAGTGATCTCCTAAGAAAAACACCTGCTTCAGTATCACAGACCACACATAAATCAAGTGACTTGTGTGATGCATATGTATTCGATGCCCCTTAGACATGAATTGTTGTCTACAAAATTTGCATGTAAACTAATAATGATCGGATCATCCATTATGAAAAATTGATTCATCAAAACTGATCAAGTACTATAATAAGAAAAAAAAGGTAGTATATAAAATGATAATAATATTGCATGAACAAACGGTATAACAAACAATGAATAATGAATTTAAAACTCATAATACTTAGTGTATTATTGTTATGAGAATTTGTCCAAAAGCTACGGATTGCGATAAAATAATTTGGCGATTTTTGGCAAACTCTAAAATAACAAAAAAAATTTAATAAATCAATGAAAGGTAAAAACATAAACTAAAGTTATCAAGACAAAGATTATTGGAAATTCTTGAAATCATGAATCGAATTAAGATTGGTTAATTATCGAAAACTTGAAAGCATTGAACAGATGACAATTGAAGGGTTTCATACTATCCATTGATTTTGAGTGATATCAGTCAACGTGTTCAACTATTGATTATGCGAGTTGTGAGGACTTCTGTCTGATATGTTGTATTTGACTATATTATTTAATCGAACAGTCAATGACTGTGAAACTTTATCCCACTGACTAGTTAAATAGAGGTCCAATAATTCTAAATATACAGAACCTTGTTGATTATTTACAGTACCACATAAAACTAGGTAGTATGAGCTAGCTGATTTAGTATAAAGCAGACACGAACTTGCGACGGGTCAAACTCAGGACTTTTCGATCTAGTAGTGGACGTATTACATTTAAAACCAAATCTCTACAAAATCTTCAGTTAAACTTTCACGAAGGACCAACTTAAAGGGTTTACGAGTTGTGACAAGTGATGTTCAATTATGTTAAGAATGACAAACATAACCGATTGGGATGAATAATAGTCACAGTATATCTGGAAAACATTGTAGTCGGAGATTCGATCCACTGGATCTCAACTTACTAACCTAAAAGCGACGCACTGATAACGAAACATGGTCACAGGCTTGATTCTCAGTATGACAGTGGTACGTACTGCTAATCCTCATACAAGGACGGGTTAGCTGTCTATTGTTCTTTGGCTTTCAATGGTACTCTATTCGATATCAGTTCTTGATGAAAATACACTATAAATTGACCTCATTTTCACAAAAATAATCATCTAGAGGTTAATGTTGAACCATTTGGGTTATAAATAAGGGAGTGAAATCAACAGACATGAGTTGAAAGCAAGAAAACTCCTATTTCTTGTAATGAGTAATATGAGCTTAAAATTTCTATCGAATGTGATGAAATATGATTAGTATATAAGGTATCACCGGTTTATTTATATTCAACAAATTCAATCAATACAATGTTCACTTAAGTTTCTGACATCAACTTTAAATGAAAGGTATATGACCAACTAACTCCTGAAGAGTCAAATGGGAAAATGTACTATGTGAAGTTAAAATTCACCATGAAATTCCAAAGTATAATGTGCTGAAGACCTTGAGCGAACTATCAGGAGACGCTAACGAGTTATAAAGGAATTAACAGCACTAAGCAATATTATGACAATGGAATATTAGCTCTGATCTTAATAATCAACCTTCATATGAAGAATTATTCTTTTTAGTAAACGAAAAAGGTTAAGGTTTGCAGACTAAGGGTTGAGTTAGCGTTGAGCTAAGACAATAGATCTCGTCAACAAATAACACAAGACAACACAAAAAGGTTAGAGTTACGCTGGAGTTCTAAAGTGCGCGTACAAATCAGGGTTGAAGTTTTCGTCAAGAGATGGCATCAGCTACAATGTAATTCTTTACCATCCGTCTGTTTACAAACTTATAAAAGTTGTGACTCAAGTTAAAAATTAAGGAATTGAGTGAGAAAATACTAGCTAGCCTCACGAAGCACTACTGACTACATACTGAATTACATCAGGTACTTAACCAAACATTCTCACTTAAGAGTAAGTGTTTTGTAATTTATCATGGGCATAATCTAAAATTCACATTTTGGTTGCATAATAGATATTGTTTTCAATTTCAAACATGGCCAATACTTATTTTGCTTGTGATAACATAATGGTTATCTACCATTGCACTTTTGATTGATTAACTCAATGCCATCAATATATTATACCTTTACCCCACTAAACTAAGAATAATTATAAATCTTTTATCCTAATAAAGATTTTCGTATACATCACGTTAGAGTGAAAGGTTCAGTCAAATTATTGCAGAACTGATTGCTATGAATCGACTGAGAACTGTGAAGACAAAATATGTGCAAAGCAGTGGTTCTTTGGTATTCCGTGTCTACAAAGTTTCATAAGTTGACATACAAGTTGAAGAGGATTGTGAACTGAGTTTTATCATTAGTGACATAAATAAAAAAACTTAAATAAAGAGAAAAAAACCCAGCTAAAATGAATAAATTTCATACCTAAAAGTGTCATGAATACAAATGCTGCTTGCTTTTTACTGCAACCCAATGGACAAAGGTTTTCGATGTCGATGGAACAAGAATTGGACTCTATTAGTTGACTATGGAGATATCTAAATTGAAGAATCAAAGTGTTATTATATTCATGTAGGGAAAATACTAAATATATCTTCAATACGTAGACGGATACAAAACAATAATACAAATCACGATTAAATTGTAGTAAAGGTTGAATTAAAGGTTAGATTGTAATGGACATATCAACAACAGAGAAAGTCGATTTCTAAGTACGAAATGGTGAACATTTTAATGGAATTCGGAAGTCAGTCAGTCAGTAACAACGTAGAACTTCGTATGTACGTACATCAGTTCGAGTTGCCATACCACATTATCACAGACACGCAGTTGTCGGTTCAAATCCCGTACTGATAGAGGCGGTAAAAGTATAAGCAGTAATCCGAAAGATTAGGGTTTGAATATGTTATTCAAAGAGTATAATTCAGTGAAATAAATTTGGAAAGAAAATAATAGAAATGAACAATTCAGAAGATTAGAATTTGGGAGAACACAAAGAGTGGATGCACCTGCGCCATTGCAAATGATTTTGAGCCATGTCATTCAGGGTCTCTAACCATCGGGTTTCCATCATTTCGCGGTCCCCAACCAGGTAGTCTACACCTACCAACATGACTCAGTTCACTTGTCAGTGACTTCATAGACTTGTGCCATGTTTTGGTCTGGTCGCCCCTAGCATGGAATTCGGAAACTTAACACTAACAAACAAAAACACTAAAAAAAACTAATAGGTTGAACCAATCAAACATGAGTTCAGGCCTAAATAATAAATGAGAGTAGTGAATACAATTGGTCAAGATTTAGTTTAATTTTCCGAAGAATATTTTAATTCACTTAGCTAATAAAAGCTGCCTATCTACTTTTGGCTTTCTCATGCAAGTAGAAGGTTAGGGACAATAACAGAAAGGATATACATCATTACCATGAACATAAATGAACTCGGGGTTGAAGATATGAATATCCTATACAAATCTGACGAAAAGAAGTTTCACTGTAGTAAATGAAATTACTAATTAATTGAAGAACAACAACATATTCAAAATGACATTACCAAGTTTTATAATTTCTGTGGAATAATGAATAAGGTAGCGTTTTTTCTAATTCATGGTCAAGAGAAAATGATCTCTCATAACATGGAGTACACTAGATCATATGAACACAGATACTTGTTCAATTAATCCGTTAACAACCAATGATAATCGGAAGTATTTTGACATAAGTGTTTATATATACATATATGCCGTAAGTCTATCTTCACTTTCTAGTCAATCACAGATTATAAACTGCCTGGATGCATCATTATTCCACAAGTGTAACTGTTGAAATGTTCTTAAATTACAATTAACTTAATTATATGTGATATTAATTTTTAGGTTTGGTAGTCCTTATAGTTTGAATATTATATACAAATCTTTCAGGAGAAATATAAAAAGAAAAGTAACAAGTGAACAATTACAATTACCTCCATAATTGTGACTTATCATGAAAACGTTTTCCTGATAAAGAGGAAACTTCAATAGGCAGTTGAAATTGATCAGGTAGTGCTTCAGTTAAATTGGGAACAACAGATGTAGAATCTATAAACAATCAAAGGTAATATATATACAACACATAAATGATAATAAAAAGTAACTACTACATATGTTCTGAAGATAAACCTACAGAAAAAAGTGTTTTAAAGATAGAATAATATTTATTTATTTATTTATTTGGGGGTAAGATTGTATAGGCAGTCATGTTTTTCGCTTTGAAATTCATCAGTTATGGACGTTCTAGAACACTTTTATACATAACGACGAACTGCATAGTATTCAATCAGAAGCGCAGAACCTATCAGCTATGTACGTTGATTCAACTTGTGATGGTATATCAATATAGAAAGCTCGAATTATCAACATAAATGATATACTGAAGATCGTAACAGCATCAGAGTAGTGGGAAACATTAGGCTCAAACGATATGATTCGAGAAGAATGAATAAGCATTACGTGATCGACAGAGAGACATTTCAACTACACTACAAATAATGGGGATTCTTGAAAACTAGTTTAGTTTTTTTTAAACCATACCGGGATCTTGTCAAACATCAACGCACCAGTGTTAACTAGGCTTCAAAATAAGTGAAGTAGTCGACACTTTCAACAACTTAAGCTCAAGCATTCATGTAGAACAGTTCCGAAGCAACAATTCACACTTAGAGAGAGATATAAATCTCGAACAAGTTTGCATTGTTGTTTAAGGTGATCAGAAGGCTGCATTTTTATCAACCAGAATTGTCACTTGGAAACTATGGGAAGATGAATTAATATATCTCAGTAATTAACCGATTCCTGAAAAAGTAAGATGACGAGAGGACTACCTCTACTCGACGTTATTATATTTGACCGTAAGCTCAAACTCGACAAATGTAATTAGGCAGAGTTTTTAAAAGGTCTACGAACGTTTCGGTACGTTTTTCAATGAAATAAGAGCACGAAATATGTTGGTCTACAAAGCGGAATGATGCCTTATGGTCAAAAACATATCACGTCTGCTTATATTGTGATGCATATCACTTTCATCTTTGACTATCTCTGTAGCTGTTCCTAAAATATACTTTGTACCACAAATAACTTTATTGCAGTGGATTTGCTGCTTCAAGCAAGAAACAGGCAAAGGTGTGACCGGATTAGAACATCATCAGTATACTTCTGTAGCTCAAGACTAGCGACAGTTTATGGCTAAACTTTTTTGGTGATGTGGTCTAGTCAGACCGTCCAGTGGAGATAAAAATTGATTTAGTGAGTGAAAATATTAACAAAAACATAAACTAACCCAACTCATTTTGTTGTTGCAGATTTTCTTCAGGTTCTTCAATTACAGGAACTAATGTTGTACACTCAGTAGGCAAAGATATTGAAGTCCCTGGAATAGGAAGATCTAGAGCTTGACGAGTTATTTCAGAAGCAGTATTATCACGTACATTTGTTACGATATCTGGGATAGGTTGATCACTAGCACCCCCAAAAGATTCTTTCATTTGCACTAATGATTCACGCACACTGGTCGTCTAACGTAATATAAGTGAAAAGAATTGATATTTAAAAAGAATTACGATTATAACAGAATAACCTTCTATGATGCCCAATATATAGAGGTGAAATTGGAGTAAATCACTAAAGGTCAGATACAGAAAGTGATCATATCATTTTTACTAAGATGATTGAGTAATAAACTTTAACATACAAGAAAAGTTTGTGTATATTTATATATATGAAGAGGTATCAGTTTTCATAGAATCATTTGAGTGCCTATGAAACTAATGAACTTGTGAAGTAGGGATCTAAAAGAATAGAGAAGTAAAGATCCATTCATAACTTCGCTGTAAAATAATTAGTCAGCTAAATGTAATACTTCAAGTGGATCAAGATTATGAAACCAGAAAGGCAGTCTAACTCTCAAGTTAATGAAAAAATCGAACGGTTGGAGTCTGATTCGTGAAGTGAATTTAGGATAATCTTTTATGCACACAAATTTAAGAAAACATACGGCTAAATAGCTTAACTTCAAAGAACTTTCAGTGGTGCTTCAAACAATGTTAACACAAATGACAAGGGTATTAGTACGGAAGGACAATATTTTCAAGATAAGACTGGTGTAAATTAACATGGTATTGTTTACTTGAATCTTCCATTGATGTTTAGGACTGCAATTGATCTGTTTCTTATTGACATATGTGCATAATGTGCGTATTGCCTTAATTCACAAGCATTATAGGCAAAGATAGACTTCAGTAGTTAAATGGATAACGCGATGGTGTTTGAAGCGAACGGTAAAAGGTTTGAGTCCCAAAGTAAACATCAACTCTGAGATGCAGGTACATCCATCTGAAGAGTCCCAAATGGGACGAAACGCGCATCCTGGATTCCACTGTCAGCCACCATGTATCATTGCTCATAAGACTGGTGTATTCTAAATTGTGTAGTGTCAATAAAGCCATTTATCGGACAGATTACGTAAAAAATGTTACGTGGGCAAACCAATAAATCAAAACAACAGGATGTGATCACTGTGGAAGAAAAGTTATTACATATTAAATTAGTTCTTAGTATTATTAATTGATACGAATCAGCCTATACAAATACTTGAGCCCTAATGCTCGTTTCACTATAAGATAGTCAACACCGGATGATTTCGGTAAATTAGATTTTAATCCATTCGGGACAGAATGACATAGATATAAGTGTCAAAGAAAAAAACAACCTCACAATGTCGTTACCATTACTTTTTTTTATAGAAGTTAGTTAGCTTAAACAATTTTTATTTGTGAAATGAATCTGTTCAAATACAAACGGATTACCGATGAGATCAGTCCTTATGGACCGATATTAAAGGAAGGTGTTATGTTATCCAAACAAGATGAGTTTAAATGATGCAAATCATATAACAAAAATGGTATGAATAATTTTGTTTCATCTCACCTGATTATTGGTTACATCAATTATATTACTAGTTCCAAAAATAGATTCAGATCCAATTAGAGAAGAATGATCTCCAGCAAGTCTTTGAATTTCTACGGAAGATTCATTTTCTTCTGTAATAGCATTCATTTTTATTGATAATGATTTAGCAGGACGTTTAGTTTGAATTACATCATTATTTATTGACAAATCATCTAATTTCCTTTTTTGTAAAGCTTTTTCACATAAACGCCGATGATAACACCAAAGCTAGGGGAAAAAATACATATATTGATCTTAAAAATGAACTATTGATGTGATCCATTGTAATGTCAGTGTTATATGAAGTGATAAACTGTGTTTTAAATTGGCTTACCACTGTTTGTACGGATAAGAAAACATTTGGTTAGTTACTGTGAATGCTACATCCAATTAGTCAATTACAAAGTAGGACCAGGCATATTTATGCATCGGTCCAAGTTGCCACACCACATTAGCACAGTAAGACGAACACCGGACTCATAGAATCAGTTAACTAAATGGTGTAATTTATAAAACGTTTTTATGTAAGGATATAGTACAGAAAGAAAGATAATGAAACGATTTTAATCTCATAGTTTAAGGGCAGATAGAGAGTGTATACACCTATACTACATCCAATACAACAGTTTACACATTACTTTTGTCTCACAAAAGTATAAGAGTAGAAAATAAAACACCACGACAACATTGAACTGATCTAACATGTTGTCATTGTACTAGTTGATTTTTTTTCCAGTTTTACTCAAAGGTACTAACTTCAAAAATGTTTAGGGTGTTGAATATCAAACTTTAGTAGTTTGGTTAACTATGAGTTATTAATCAAATCATTCAACTGGAAAAAAGGTTGCAAGAAACTAATCTCCTATATAAATAACTATTTTAATACGTTGTGTAGAAAAGATGTAAGAATATATTTTATGAATTAATATAGTATTTGATTTTACGGTAATATACATCAAGAAGACGATGAAAGAAGAACTGTCTAAATATACAGATTTAAATATTTACCGGGACGAGAATAAAGATTTGATGACGAATGCTATGCTTAGTGATCAGAGAAAAGGTGAGAAGTGATTGATAAATTTAAATTTGAGGCTGAAATGGTCAGAACAATAAAACGCATCATCTGAAGATTGTCAAATTAATTTCAACAACGGACTAAATATCACATATTGTTGAATTAATAGTTAATTGATCCGCTTATTCGGGAAATCTAAACGAAACTGACTGAGAGCTTATGAAAACATTGAATATTTTAATTTAAGTTAGGCTGGTAATTAGTTCTCTTAATTCAGTTACATCTATAATCCATAAAACGTCTGTTCAAAGTCAACATCAACTCCGCTTTTATTAAAAACGTCGTTTTTTACTGGAATGAAAATATGTCAGATAGGGAAATTCTCTTTTTTACAAATAAGAAGTATAGATGCAAACAAATGACGTACGTCACAAAGTCTTAGACTAAGAGCAGTTTCCAGATTACCGGGAACAGAGAATAATCGTGAAACACTCCGAGACAATAGATGTCGTGTTTGACTGCGTGGAGTTGATTCAGCCAGATAAAAGTCTCGTGTAACCATGGTCTCCTCGCCATGTAACATGTTCCAGCGTAATTCTGATGCTGTAAGTCGGGTGATTTTATCAATGATAAGCTTATTAGAATGTTTTTTTGTACGACGACGATGCGTATTCTCCTCAGATTCGACAGGATTCAATGGATTTAATCGAGATAACGAAATTGGACATATGTTCTGTTCAGAAGCACTAGTAAAGGTTCTAGTTATAGAAGAAATACCAAAATCATAGATATATGAGTATAAATCTTCACTACTAATATATTTTACGTAATGTGAATATGTAGTTTAAAAAAATGAAGAAAACGAATACAAGTATTGTTACGTCCAAAATAAGTTGATCTTCATCAAGGTTTAAATAGATCTCAACACATTATATTATATGAACTGGACAATAACCATAAAAAACTAAGAGAGCATTCTAAAAACGGATCGTTTGACTAAACCATCTCTTTTACATATAAGTATATTTAAGAAAAGGAGCGGGTTATCCTTCTCTTTGTATGAAAAAAAATTTGCATCCTGTTTTGTTACCGATAACTATGATGTCGTATACGCATCACTTATAAAGGTATGTATTTTCGAATGGATCTTTGGCGAACTTTTCAATATGTGTCATAAACACATCAATTAATAATGGTACTAATGGAACACTCATATAAACCTCTATCAATCTGTTGGAAGGTCAGTCAGTCAGCTACAACGTAGGACCAGGCACATATATGTATCGGTCCAAGTTGTCGTACCTCATTAACACAACATGATGAACACCGAATTCATAAAAGTAGTTAATTCGGTTGTGGTAATATATAAAAGAAAGATTGCAGTAAGGATATAGTACAAGAAGAAAGAAATAGTTCGTAGAAAGAAAGATATAAAGCAATTTTAATCTCTTAGATTAAGGTAAGGTAGAGAGTGTATACACCGACACCATTGTGATCGATTCTGAGCCATGTCACCAAGAGTCTTCAACCATTGGTTACGATAGTCACGTGGACCCCAACCAAGTAGTCTGCATCTACCAACATGGCTCAGACTACAAGTTATTGACTTCAAGCACTGATGCCACGTTTTGGTTTGGCCGCCCTTAACTTACTTACTTCCAGCCATCCCCGACACCGGTTAGCATTGCATGTCGTGGTAATCGGTGTTCGGGCATCTCGCCTTCGCCATAGGTGACGTAATTAGGCAAAACCCAAGCGAGCTTTTCGAATCCGTGCTGAGATTTCGTCAGGCACCAACCCATTAGGCTGATCAAACTTCCAAGGTAAGTGAAGTTGTCAACGCGTTCGATTACTTCACTCCCTATCCTTAGTTCAGGTGTTGACGCACACCAGTCCTGAAGCAACAACTTGCATTTAGAGGGAGAGAGGCGCATTTCAAACATTCTGGCATTGTTGCTTAGTGCTACCAAAAGACTCTGCATTTTATCAGCATCTTCACCAAACAGGACTATGTCATCTGCGTATTCTAAGTCGATAAGTGGACCTCCTGGAAGAAGATCAATGCCCGAAAATTCAGTAGACGAGAATGTTATTTCCATCAGTAGGTCTATGATGAAGTTAAACAAAAATGGAGAAAGTGGACAGCCTTGACGGACACCACTTGAGGTTGCAAAAGCAGATGACAGTTCGCCATAAGCTCTGACTCGACTGGTAGTGTTCGAGTAAAGAGCCTTTACAAGGTTTATGTACTTCTGAGGTACACCTTTCAATGACAGACACTGCCACAGAATCTCGAGGTCTACCGAGTCGAATGCTGCTTTTAAGTCAAGAAAGACCACCACTGTCGGACGCCGATAAGTATGCCTGTGTTCTAGAACCTGACGAATGGTGAATATGTGGTCGATGCAGCCACGACCTGGTCTGAAGCCAGCTTGGTTCTCTCGTGTTTGCAGTTCACGAGTCTCAGTTAGGCGTCTGATAATTATCGAGGCTAGTATTTTAGATACTATATTTGTTAAACTAATCCCTCTGTGGTTGTCACAGGATGATTTTGACCCTTTCTTATATATTGGGACGATTGCGACCAGTCAGATGGAATAACATCTAACTCCCAGATCTTAACTAAAATATTAGTCAACCTAACCGCTAAAATTGGACCACCATCCTTAAAGACTTCTGGAGCCAATCCATTTGGACCAGTTGCTCTTCCTCGTTTCAGATTAACTATAGCCTTCTCAAATTCAGCAAGAGTTGGGGGACCTACTTCAATGTTCCATGTTAAACGATGTCTTTCCTTATGCTTAAAACTTGTTTGCTAAAAATAAATGATTGTCTGAGCATAGCTGCAGCAGACGATCACCATTATCTGAAAAGGAAATTGGATTAAAGGTGATCTTAGTGACCTGAGAGCGTGACCGCAGTGCCCAAGGAACAACTGCTTGAGGTCGGTGACACACGACCTTTTCGTTAGTAATTTCCGTGTTGAGACCTTCCCGTCGCAGATGGATATCCATGGGATAAGGCGAGGTGTGCGTTTTTAGGGTCGACCTTTTCTAACCCCACCCCTCCTTGTGGGAAGGCAGCATCGCCGTCATGCTGGTTGTCTGAAGGAAACACCTTACTGCTGTCACATTTCTGTACAGTCAGCAGTACGACTTCACCTTCGGACTTTGGGTTTGTTGCTTTTAGTCTTACTGCTTTTCAACCGACCTGTCTGCCATGGTAGGACCTTGCGGAACGATTGCTGCAGCCAGTATAGCTTTGTTGCTCCATCATGATAGGCAAGCCCGACCACCACGTTAAGGCCCGACCGAAGCTGCTACCTTGACGTGGTGGTCGGGCTTGCCTATCGTGATAACCCAACCGAGCTATATTGGCTGGAACATATGTTCCTGTAAGTTCTACCATGCCAGGCAGGTCGATTGGTGAACGGTAAGACTAAAAGCAGCAACTCAAAGTCTGAGGGCGAAGTCGTACTGCTGACTGTACAGAGGTGTGACAGCAGTAAGGTGTTTCCCTCAGACAACCAGCATCTGCAGCGATGCTGCCTTCCCACAAGGAGGGGTGGGGTTAGAAAAGGTCGACCCTAATAATGTCACACCTCACCTTACCTCACGGATTTCCGTCTCCGGCGGTAAGGCCCTTTGAAGAACGGAGCTAACACGTCAAAAACCTTCTACAAAAAGGCCGTGCGCGACCGGCCTCAAGCAGTTGTCCCTTGGGCTCTGCGGTCACGCTCCCAGGTCGTTAAGACCAACACTAATCCAATTTCCTTTTCAGGTTCCTCAAGAAATACCCTTCCACGGTGTGGGCAGCCGGGAAGTGACATCAGCCCTCATACCCGTAACAGCACGCGAGACCAAGTTGGTCACATTCAAATCCTTCCTACACCTCCTAATACCTCTCTTATTTCCATGACTAACCCTCCTCATCACTCTTTATCACCTCGCACCGCTAGGGCAAACGATTCGAGTACGTGGAACTCTATTCCTGGTCTCCTGAAACCACGCTCTAAACTACACGTAGGAGCTTTTAACGTCCGAACACTATGCCAAATAGGACAGCAGGCTTCCTTAGCTAGGACTTTAGAATCTCGCGCCATCGATGTGTGTTGCGTCTCCGAAACGCGCATACAGGATCCAAGTAGCAACATTCATTTGACCTCACCATGCCAAAATAAAGAACCGACTCGATTTACGCTTCGTGTATCTGGAAGCCCTGATTCTGCTTCCCGTGGACTCGCCGGCGTAGGTATAGCATTGAGTCCCAGAGCAGAATTAGCTCTCTTAGAGTGGATCCCAGTAGACAGCCGGTTATGCGCTGTCCGACTGAACGGAACAGTAAGAATCCGGAAAGATAGGGACACCCGTCGTTCCCTCTTCGTCGTTTCTGCCTATTCTCCCACTGACTGCAGCCCAGATGATGTAAAAGATGAGTTTTACAGAAAGCTTTCCGACCTTCTCCGAAAAGCTAAGCGCTCGGATGTAGTAATAGTGGCCGGTGACTTTAATGCTCAAGTAGGTAAACTAAGCGATAGGGAAAGACACCTGGGTGGATCTTATAGTATCGTGGCTCAAAGAACAGATAATGGCGACCGTCTGTTGCAGCTATGCTCAGATAATCGCCTGTTCCTTGCAAATACTAACTTTAAGCATAAGGAAAAACATCTTTTAACATGGCGACCCCCTAATTCGTCCCAACGTTGGACCCAAATAGATCACATCGCTATCAGCCACCGATGGAGGGGCTCGATAGAAGACTGTCGCTCATTCTGGAGCACATGCTTAGATTCAGATCACGCTCTAGTGCGAGCGCGTATTTGCTTGCGTCTTACTGGACGTAGGAAAGACGCTGCAAGGAAACCTCTTAGGGGCCTACTTAATGATAGTCAAGCTAAGAGTATATTTCAGGAACAACTAGGAAAACAGTTAGGCAGCCAAGTATGTGATGCCCACCCCGATGCAGCTTGGAATGATATCCGAAAAGCTGTGGAAACAGCAGTGATATCTGTTAGTAAGGTAAATCAGAAGGTTAGGGAGCAACACTGGATCTCAGCAGCATCTATCGCACTGATAGATGCTCGTAAACTCATTCCACCTGGCTCTGAACATAGTGAAGAGCGGAGTCAACTTAAGCGCAAGCTGACAAGAAGTCTACGCAATGATCGCGAACAGTGGTGGGTAGCGAAAGCAAGAGAGATGGAAAAGGCAACGGCAATAGGTAATAGCAGACAATTGTTTAGACTCGTTAAGGAAACCGGAATTAGGAACCCGATTGTTAGCGAAACAATCTCAGAGAAAGATGGACATATTATTCATTCTCAATCCAGGAGATTGGATCGATGGGCAGAACACTTTAGGGATCAGTTCAACTGGCCTTCAGCCACACTTCGGTTTCCCACGATCTCCAGTCACCCTGAATGGCAAGTTAATGTAGGTCCTCCGTCTCTTTATGAAGTTGAAAAAGCCATAGGAAATCTGAAACGAGGGAGAGCAGCAGGCCCTGACAGGTTTACTCCTGAGATTTTTAAGGATGGTGGTCCAGTATTAGCAATGAGATTAACCGAGGTCTTAGGTAGGATTTGGGAACTGGACGTAATCCCATCTGACTGGTCTCAATCACTGATTGTGCCAGTTTTTAAGAAAGGACAAAAGTCCTCTTGTGACAATCACAGAGGAATCAGTTTGACTAATATAGTGTCTAAAATATTAGCTTCAATAATACTTCGACGCCTAATCAAAGCTCGTGAAGAGCAGATTAGAGAAAACCAGGCCGGTTTTCGACCTGGACGTGGTTGTATAGATCAGATTTTCACACTACGTCAGGTTCTAGAACACAGACACACATTCAGACGCCCCACAATGGTAGTATTTCTCGATCTTAAGGCGGCATTCGACTCTGTTGACCGTGAGGTTCTATGGCAGTGTTTGTCACTGAAAGGAGTACCAAAGAAGTACATTAACCTTATAAAGGCTCTCTACTCGAAAACAACTGGTAGAGTGAGAGCTTATGGCGAACTGTCATCAGAATTGATTACCTCAAGTGGTGTTCGTCAGGGCTGTCCACTCTCCCCATTCTTGTTCAACTTTGTGGTCGACGTACTTTTAGAGATAACACTCTCCTCATCTAAATTTCCAGGGGTTGAACTTCTACCGGGAGGTTCACTTGTTGACTTAGAATATGCAGATGACATAGTTTTATTTGGTGAAGACGCTGACAAAATGCAGAGTCTTCTGACCACTCTAAGCAACAATGCAAGCATGTTCGGGATGCGATTCTCTCCCTCGAAATGCAAAATGTTGCTTCAGGATTGGGTTGCTTCGACACCTGAACTAATGATAGGGAGTGAAGTAGTTGGGCGTGTCGACCGCTTCACTTATCTTGGAAGTCTCATCAGCCCTTGTGGTTTGGTGTGTGACGAAATCTCAGCACGGATACAGAAGGCTCGACTAGATTTTGCTAACTTGCGTCATTTATGGCGTAGGCGAGATATCCGTCTACCAACCAAAGGACGTGTTTACTGCGCAGCAGTTCGTTCCATCCTACTTTATGGCAGTGAAACATGGCCGGTAAGAGTAGAGGATATTCGTAGGTTACTAGTATTTGATCATAGGTGTCTTCGAAATATTGCTCGTATATCATGGGACCACCGAGTAAGTAACGCAGCTGTTAGGAAACGAGTACTAGGTAAGGATGGCAAATCAATTGATGAAGTAGTGAAACTTCATCAGTTGAGATGGCTGGGACACGTGTTACGTATGCCCAACCACCGACTACCTCGACGTGCTATATTCAGTGGTATAGGAGTAGGTTGGAAGAAAGCTAGGGGCGGCCAAACCAAAACATGGCACAAATCCATGAAGTCACTGACAAGTGGACTGAGTCATGTTGGTAGGTGTAGACTACCTGGTTGGGGACCGCGAGATGATAGCAACCGATGGTTAGAGATCCTGAATGACATGGCTCAAAATCGTTTGCGATGGCGCAGGTGCATCCACTCTCTATGTTCTCCCAAATTCTAATCTTCTGAATTCTTCATGCCCCTTTTTTTTCCTCTTTCCAAATTTATTTCACTGGATTATACTCGTTAAATAACATCTCCAAACCCTAATCTTCCCGATTACTGCTTATACTCTTGCAACCTCTACCACTACGGGATTTGAATCGACCACTGCATCTCTGTGCTAATGTGGTATGGCAACTCGAACTGATGTACGTACGTACTAAGTTCTACGTTGTTACTGACTGACTGACTGACCACGTCAAGGTAGCAACAACGGTCGGGATCTGTTGGAAGGATTCATTTTCAATTGTGAACTAAACTAAGTCGGTTCATTAAAGTAACAAATCTTTAGGAATTATTAGAGAAATGAGTAAACGAATACAATTGTACACAAGGAATTCACATTGAGAAAAAATACACTTTTTTAATCGATATTATTTTCACCTATACAAATTAGCAACTTAACAAAATCCTTAAAGGAATGACTTTGGACAGGGTTCAACATTTTCATCAGCTATTTAATAAGATTATGTATCCGTGATCAATTTGGATGTCTGTATGATTAGATTGGTTGAAATGTGTTGTATTAATTACACATCACATAATTTTTGATAACTTTCATATTTTTATATCATTATTCAAATTTATTAGAAGGAAGAACTATTTTAAATTTTTGGATTGGTTATTTGAAGTGAATGATAATGGGATTGAAATACTGGAAGAAACATCAACTCTGGAGTGTAGATAAATCAATCTGGCGAAATTCAAAATAGGATGGAAGGCATATCCTGGATCCCATTTGATAACGATCATCCATCTCTGATTATAGAGGTGTTTTAAGTTTTCTTTATACGTTTCGTTTTGTAGTAGATTTATGTAAGATAAATTATAAAATGAGTAACTAACCTTTCTTCTTCTTCCTGAGGTAATATCTGAGTCATTTCTGTTTCTGTTAAAAAATCTCTAGTCAATTCAACTTGTTCTAATACAACATTTGATTGTTTGATGTTTTCCAAATGAGTAGAATTACTGATTATTTCAGAAGGCTGAAATAGAAAAAAGATACTGTGGTGTGAGCTACTTATATTCACATAAGTAGTATATAAAGATGGTCAGGCACAGAATATATTTCCGTAGAAGATTGAGAAAGAAAGAACAGGGATTGAAATCAATTTGTATGGAAATACATGAGGCGATGGACCGATATTTGCAAAAGAAACAGTCTAGTTCGAGACAACTGATTGGTATTTTGTAAATTAACTATTTACTATATGGTTCGCAGATTTTAGTGAGATGTTCTGTGATTTCATGTTCTAATGCCCCACTCGTGTTCTTGTTCACTACAATACTACCATAACTGCTCATGTTAAATAGAATTCGCAAACTGAAACATGGATATAAAATAACCTAAATATTAACTAAGTAATATGCATGACAACGTAGTTTATAATTCCCAATTAGAAAATAAATCAATGTGGCCTATCCCGTGGTTGATCATTGTTGTATCCAAAACAAAGATATAACATGAAAACATCATGATATATCTATAAATATATTGAAAACACATAGAAGCCCGTTTAATATATAAGAATGATTATTGTAAATGTGTGAGGAATACTATTGGTTAGTTATTTAGACAAAATGAAAATCTGTTCTTTACATAGCATACTCATACATCAGACAAAAGTGATCGTTGAGATAAGAGGTGGTAGGGCATACATATGAGAAATTTTTGATGCGTTAGCTCCACACTTTCAAAGGTATTATTGCCTGAGAAGAAAACCAGTGTGGTGAGGTAAGTTTTGATGTTTTTTTAGGGTCGGCCTTTTCTAACTGTTTACTTCCATTGTGAGAATGCAAGACCACTGAAGATGCTAGTTGTCCAAAAGAAACATTTCACTACTGTCACATTCCTCTAAAGTCAGAAGTACAAATTCACCCTCGTACTATAAGTTAGTGCTTTGAGTTTAAAAGTTTTCCAATCGATCTATCTGAAATGGTAGAACGTAAAGGAAAGAGTGTCCAAGTCAGTATAGCTTGATTGAGTTATTACGATAGGCTAACCCGACTACCACGTCAAGGTAGCAGCTACTCTAAGGCATGTAGCTTGTTACGTGAACTTTAGAAAAAAATTTCGCTGTATAAACTGGCACACACATCATTGTATATGTAAATCAAATGATCAGTAGGTAAAAATAACTAGAATTATTATTAGATTCGTAACTTACCATTAGTGAACTATCCACATTAGCTGAAATTCTGGAAATGTAGAAACATAAATGAATATATAAGCAAATTTAAGTGGAATACTTTAATATTAATAAAGAAAAAAGAACTACAGTAGGCTCACATAGTTACTATGACCATATAGTTTTTCTTTCCGATTGTTCCTCGTTTCCAAATTTCCTTTTTTGGTGCCACGATGTATCAGGTCTCATGTGTTCAAAATGAAATGATCAAACCTCGTACACCACCTCGAACCTAAGCATCACTTAGTCTAACGTTTTGATTATACACAGAATACATTATAGAATTAAACTACTAAACTAGATCACAACGAAAGAATGAAATAAAACAACATTCAATAGCTTACTAGAGAATCATGAGTTAATTAAACTTTCAAATATAATGACAGTCTACATAATTTTTAATTAGGGTAAGGCAAATGTCTTTGCTCAGTAACTAATCACACTTCGCCGTGAAAGAACAAAAATTCTGTCCGACTTTGAAGATAGAGTGAATGTGAGTCGTAACTGACTCACGTCTAAAAATTTACTTAGGGAAGTTCAAGCACACTGGTACTATTTCACACACCAACATTCCCAATCATTAAACAAGTTGGTCCGTAAAATAGTTTTTATCGTACTAAAATTCAAGCAGATACAAGACTTTCATAAGAAAGAAACTTACGCATTGACTGAGTCCATAGGTACATCAAAAGACTGCGGAACTGTGCATTCATCAGCGCTTCCTTGAGCAAGCGTTTTCGCATTCGTCAAATCCTTTGGACTTGATAAAAGCGAATGTTAAAAAGGTAGTGAATTTCAACATAATAAAAAAAGTGAGATGATAATCTCTCAGATAATTTACGATGTGTCATAGAAGCTGAGATACAATAAACCCAATGCAGTAGTACTGCATATCAATTATTGTTTCTCAACACTACACATGCACTTCGGATCATCATAGAGTTGAAAACAATAGTAAATAACAACACAAGTCTATAAATCGTATTAAAATAGACTTTATTTATAATTACAGTTTATCAATATTAGTGCAAAAATTTCAGGCAGTTGATTCAAAGTGTCAGTACGATGTACTTTATGATGAGAAAAAACCTTGATAATACACAATGGAAACACACACTTCACCTTAAAACAATCAAAGCTGATGACAATGGCTACTGAGACAGCAGTTATCTTTACAGAAATACTGACTAGATAGAACTAAGGTGGAAAAATTACAACTGTCGAGACACAGTGGTTCGCATAATAGATTTTCAGTTAGCAAATTATGTCTTCAAATTTATTTCACGTGAGTACGCTTGTACGGATACAGTTGATTAGTTTTGTTAAGTTCAGTGCAAAAGTCTAAATTTATATACACTTTATCGAATACATTCAAATGTAATAAGTATAATTAAGTAAAAATTTTCAATTGAAACTTACGAGTTCACTATCTCTGTACGTACGGGAACAAATTGATTTAATACGGAATCGAATATGACATTCTTTTCTTGTATTGTTGTTATCGGCCTTGAAAGAAATGTTTTAGAAAGCAAATGACACGATTTAAACGTATTGGTAATACACTACATACAAAACGCAATTCCCATGTGAATCATGCTGGTTATGTCGCAAAATCGAGACAGTGTTTACAAATTAATTGTCACTTCGCATTCTATCCGAATGATCAAATAAGAACAAATTTTATGGACAGATCAACATTTCACAACTAAATTCTTATATATTTTGAGGAGGATACTATAATGTCTCGAGCAGTTCTATTTAAATGTGGTATTTAAGTAATACATTTGCCTAAAAGTACTCGTCATTATACCGGTGCTATTCTGGATTAATACTGCATTTGAATCAAAAGAATGTTTTATTTAATTACTTATTTAAAAACATAAACATTGGTACAAAGGAGCACCAAAATATATATGAGCCATAATAAGTGTGAGGGGTATGATACTGCCTGGTTGCCCAAAACGAAGCAGGTGGTTGTCCTAGAAGACTCTTCTCGAGTCAATGACCAAGAGATCTAATCCACAAGACAGTGGAGAAACGTTAGAAAATGCAGTTTCACGGTAGCCGATGCCCAATAATAGGTCGGTGTCCCATTTTTTCTCCGAGGGTCATTGAGCTCATCTGCGCCATTAGTTCGGATTCAAATCTTCCGAACTCCCCTAGATGGATCCTTTGTACCCACCAACCACGTTTAGGCGCAGGATATTTGCTTCTCGTCCTCTCAAATTCGTAAACAACACCATCGCTAAGAGAAGGGGATGAGTAGGATTTACTTGGAAGTGGCTATATACTCGTGGTCATATGAGAGGAATAGCAGACTTGTTCCGCCCTCGGCAGTACCAAGGCAGTTGGGAGCCAAGATTAATTTGTCGTAATTATTTTACAATGTCAGGCTGTAGATAAATGGAAAAAACAGTAGCGAATGTTGGATGTTAACTAAATTTCAAAAGTTTGAGGTGTCATCTCTAAACATAGCTAAAAACTTTGCAAATTAAAATTAGATAATGTTTGGGTCATTATGCAGAAGATACTTGTAAGTTATCAGTATTTGATGACAGACATCTTAGTAACACTGTTCGCATCTGCTGGGATCACCAGTTAAGTAATGGTGAGGCTAGATACAGGGTATTAGAGAATGGTGATAAATCAGTTGAAGAGGTTGTGGATCCTTATCGACTGAGATGGTTGGACCACGTGTTACTATTTCACACACCAACATTCCCAATCATTAAACAAGTTGGTCCGTAAAATAGTTTTTATCGTACTAAAATTCAAGCAGATACAAGACTTTCATAAGAAAGAAACTTACGCATTGACTGAGTCCATAGGTACATCAAAAGACTGCGGAACTGTGCATTCATCAGCGCTTCCTTGAGCAAGCGTTTTCGCATTCGTCAAATCCTTTGGACTTGATAAAAGCGAATGTTAAAAAGGTAGTGAATTTCAACATAATAAAAAAAGTGAGATGATAATCTCTCAGATAATTTACGATGTGTCATAGAAGCTGAGATACAATAAACCCAATGCAGTAGTACTGCATATCAATTATTGTTTCTCAACACTACACATGCACTTCGGATCATCATAGAGTTGAAAACAATAGTAAATAACAACACAAGTCTATAAATCGTATTAAAATAGGCTATATATATAATTACAGTTTATCAATATTAGTGCAAAAATTTCAGGCAGTTGATTAAAAGTGTCAGTACGATGTACTTTATGATGAGAAAAAACCTTGATAATTCACAATGGAAACACACACTTCACCTTAAAACAATCAAAGCTGATGACAATGGCTACTGAGACAGCAGTTATCTTTACAGAAATACTGACTAGATAGAACTAAGGTGGAAAAATTACAACTGTCGAGACACAGTGGTTCGCATAATAGATTTTCAGTTAGCAAATTATGTCTTCAAATTTATTTCACGTGAGTACGCTTGTACGGATACAGTTGATTAGTTTTGTTAAGTTCAGTGCAAAAGTCTAAATTTATATACACTTTATCGAATACATTCAAATGTAATAAGTATAATTAAGTAAAAAATTTCAATCGAAACTTACGAGTTCACTATCTCTGTACGTACGGGAACAAATTGATTTAATACGGAATCGAATATGACATTCTTTTCTTGTATTGTTGTTATCGGCCTTGAAAGAAATGTTTTAGAAAGCAAATGACACGATTTAAACGTATTGGTAATACACTACATACAAAACGCAATTCCCATGTGAATCATTCTGGTTATGTCGCAAAATCGAGACAGTGTTTACAAATTAATTGTCACTTCGCATTCTATCCGAATGATCAAATAAGAACAAATTTTATGGACAGATCAACATTTCACAACTAAATTCTTATATATTTTGAGGAGGATACTATAATGTCTCGAGCAGTTCTATTTAAATGTGGTATTTAAGTAATACATTTGCCTAAAAGTACTCGTCATTATACCGGTGCTATTCTGGATTAATACTGCATTTGAATCAAAAGAATGTTTTATTTAATTACTTATTTAAAAACATAAACATTGGTACAAAGGAGCACCAAAATATATATGAGCCATAATAAGTGTGAGGGGTATGATACTGCCTGGTTGCCCAAAACGAAGCAGGTGGTTGTCCTAGAAGACTCTTCTCGAGTCAATGACCAAGAGATCTAATCCACAAGACAGTGGAGAAACGTTAGAAAATGCAGTTTCACGGTAGCCGATGCCCAATAATAGGTCGGTGTCCCATTTTTTCTCCGAGGGTCATTGAGTTCATCTGCGCCATTAGTTCGGATTCAAATCTTCCGAACTCCCCTAGATGGATCCTTTGTACCCACCAACCACGTTTAGGCGCAGGATATTTGCTTCTCGTCCTCTCAAATTCGTAAACAACACCATCGCTAAGAGAAGGGGATGAGTAGGATTTACTTGGAAGTGGCTATATACTCGTGGTCATATGAGAGGAATAGCAGACTTGTTCCGCCCTCGGCAGTACCAAGGCAGTTGGGAGCCAAGATTAATTTGTCGTAATTATTTTACAATGTCAGGCTGTAGATAAATGGAAAAAACAGTAGCGAATGTTGGATGTTAACTAAATTTCAAAAGTTTGAGGTGTCATCTCTAAACATAGCTAAAAACTTTGCAAATTAAAATTAGATAATGTTTGGGTCATTATGCAGAAGATACTTGTAAGTTATCAGTATTTGATGACAGACATCTTAGTAACACTGTTCGCATCTGCTGGGATCACCAGGTAAGTAATGGTGAGGCTAGATACAGGGTATTAGAGAATGGTGATAAATCAGTTGAAGATGTTGTGGATCCTTATCGACTGAGATGGTTGGACCACGTGTTACACATGCTCAAACACCGATTACCACGACGCACAATGCTGACAAGTGTTGAAGATGAATGGAAGAAAGTTAGAGGCAGCCAAACCGAAACGTGACACCAGTCCTTGAAGTCATGCTGGCAGATGTAGTCTACTTGGTTGGGGTCAGCGTGACTATCAAACCAATGGTCGGAAACTCTGGATGACATGGCTCAGAGTCGATCACAATGGTATAGGTGTATACACTCCTTGTCTTCCCTCAAACTATGAGATTGAAATCGCTTTACATCTCTATTTCTACGAACTGATTCTTTCTTTCTGTACTATATCCTTATTCACAATCTTTTTTTATACATTATTACTATTGAAGTGACTACTTCTATGAATTCGGTGTTCATGTTGTTGTGCTAATGAGTCATTGCAATTCGGGCCAGTGCATATACGTGCCTGGTTTTACGTTCTAGCTAACTGACTGTTAGGCAGAAAGGAGAGGATTATGGGAAAATGATCGTTTATGAAGCCACTAATTCGTTAACTCAGGTAAGAGAAAACAAAATGTACTACAGATAAAATTTATGCTTTTCTATAATATGTCAACCATAATGCAACATAGGTAAGTAGAGAAGGCGGTTCGTTTTATAAACGTGAATCAATCGATGGATAATCAACGTACTAAACATGCACGTTATATACACAGGTAATATTATGCCAGGTTTCTTGTCACTTGAATTGAATTTGATTAAACTCAACAACATTAGACTGTCAATTTGACAAGAAAGAAAAAATAAGACAAATGAACCAAGAAAAACAAACCTCTGAGGTTTATCTGAATAACATGATCTTTCTACTGCAGAATATTCTGTAACTTCAGCTTCACTCTCATGTACTAAATGTTTAGAAATGTGTCTCTTGCCATTTTGAATCTCAATAGGAATTAAATCTACTGGTTGAATGGTATGATGATCACGATTTGTCGATTCAAGGATAAACTCCGGCAAAAAATCTTCACCAAATGAAAAACGAGTACCAGTTGTCTATAATAAGACAGAAGACATGCAGAATTAGTCATAAATACTTGTTTCGACATAGGTACCGATAAGCTTAAATAGGGTTGGTATCCTTAATAAAAGGAACATGTAGCAAGTGTGTGAGATTTGAATACCCTAAGTAGAACATGTAACAAAACTACCTCATCAATCAATGTCCATACATAATTCACTTTTATAAGCCAAAAGACGATTGTCATACTAACATGTATTTAATCTTTTGTTTTCTTCAAGATTCCTTTGGCAATTTCGTTTTTTACTGATTTACCATTTTCAACTGTGAGACATGTTACTAATAAATTAGTTTGTTGGATTTGCATGTTGTTCTAGTCAGACCTACACAACAGAGATACAGCTTTAAATGGTATAAATATCTACTGCTATGTAATAAATGGTATGGATCAAGTCAGTGAAGCAATAATTAGAGTAAACTCTTCATAGCCGTTACTCTGTCTTCGTTTGTTGTTATGAATTATGAGGGTAACGAAAAGCTATCGAAACGAGGAAGGTAGGGAAATATACATTACATAGAAAATCAGTCATATGAACCGTAACTCCTTAGAGTAATAGACAAAACGGTGACTCGGGTAATTATGCACTATACATTGATTCAAATGTTAACTTAAACCGCCATTGCTAACCTAAGTCATTAAGCCTTGTGTTTATGCCAACCTGAAATTACATTTAGTGAAATAACTACTAGACTGGTCTTTGATTATACATTTATAAGCGCACATTCCAATAGCCCAGTGTTTTTACACTTGTGGATTAACTTTGCTTTTGTGTGTCTATGTATCAAAAGTATATTTGGTTATTATCTTCACTGAAAAGGAGATTAAATCACTGAAAAAATTAACTACGAGACAAATGCCGCAAAGAGTGCTGCTTATTTAACGCCAGGACTGACGGTGTTACGCGGAACGAACTGCTCATTCGAAAAAAGAAACATGGATAGATTACCTTTTCTCAGTACTTTCAAATGCATTTACCAATCTACATGTAAGTGGCAAAGAAAAGACATTGGAAAGATCGAGAGAAGAGTAAATGTTCGCATTTCTAAGCAAGTTCCAAAGAATTTGAAACTGAGTGGAGCAACAGCTCTAAATAGAACGATAGCTTGGCATTTAGTTGATACAGGGCATACAAGTGACACTCCCCAATCCTTCCAAATTATCGGCGGACAAAAGCACAGTCTCTTAGGTAAGAATAAGAAACTCAAACATGATTTATGTATCCATAAAGAGACAGTAACCAGCTGACCAATACCTTGGTAAATACACATTTCTGAACAGTATCGCCTTCAGTTATTATTTCTATTATTTTATTACCGTTAATTTCGTAAACTAATTTTTATTATATGTACACCAAAATCATCTTTTCACTCAGCGATTTTTTAAGTCTAATTATCTAAACTTTATAAATCTTGTCTATTATAATCATTATGTAACCCATCTCATCGAATTCTAATTCTAAACAATTACCATTTTGACATTTAGTAAAAAGAACGAATCGAGCAAAGAAATTTCTTTTAAATTAGTTTTTCAATATGGTTTTATAGTCATATATATGATTTGACACAATAAAATAATACTCATCGCTCAACTTGTTTATTTTTTAACAACTACATGTCTTTTATATTTATTCACAAGATCTATAATTCATCATGCGATCTACTTCGTTCTTTTTCAAGATTTCACTTAATTACTTTCTAACACCTTAAAATATACTCGTTAACTAGATGATTATTAAGAAGTGATTTAATACTGGCCTACCGTATGCCGAACGATAATTTTGGTATGAATGTTTCATATTTTTCATCTCCTAGAACTAATCATCTATGATTACATTTTAAAAAAATTTGAAGATCAAGACTAAGCCGTTCACGGTCTAAGTTTCGTTTTCGCACCGAGTAGTGAACTACAATAATTCTTCACAAGAACACGTAATATCTATTTATTTATCTAAACACATAAATATTAGTACAATGGGGCAAAAAATATATGAACACCACACAAATTATTTGATTTTTGTCAGGGTTGAGATACTGCCCAGGCGCCCAGACCGAAGCAGTTGGTTTTCATAAAGAGCTACACCCCGAAACTTCGACCGGAAGGTCTAGTCAACAAGGCAATGAAGCAACGTCAAGAGATGCGGCCCCATGGCAACTGGTGACCCACAATGGGTTTATAAGCCATTTGTTCCCTCAGGATCCTGGAGCCAATGAGCACTGTTGGAGACAGGGTTTTCTAACTCCCCTAGGCCGATCATCCGTATCCACTATTCGCTTTTCGTCCTCGTAATTTTGTAAACACCACCGATGCGAGAATGCAGTGAGTAGGAATTCCATAACAGTGTTTGCGAGCGCGTGGCTATATGAGAGCATTTTGAGAGTTGACACTCCCCACTCTCGGTTGTACAGGGGCATTTGGGGGATATCAGTACCTGTTGATGTATTCAGGGCTAGACTGGGTTTCTATGGTACTACGAACTGCAAGGACTGGTATAGGTTGCTTGACCTCTTATCCTTAATACTGAAAATTGACTTCGAACTCTAAACATTCTATAAGCTTAAATATCTGAATAAGACGTTCTAACTTGGGCAAAAAACAAACATGGCGAGGATTATGAACAGCATACCTCGACCGAAGGGTCCTCCACCAAAGTTATGTCTTCATTTCGTGCTTGATACAGAGTTTGTGTATCCATGAAATCCAGACAAGGTTCATTGATACTGGGCCAAAACAAATCAGGCAACTGAAGATTTCCAAAATCATTTGTTTCGTTGTACAAGTTTAACAGAGGTACTTCAGGGTCATCAATTGGTACACGAGTTTTACGCTTTGTACGAGATTTAGTACTGTATACATAAAACAATGAACTCGTTAAAAATGTAGAGCAAAAAAATTGTGGCAAATAGACAAACGAACTAACAAACGTGAACAAAGTTTTTACCAAGTGGGTAGGTCAATGGACCGGCTTGTAGTTACAGAAGCTTTCTGGCTTAGCTCTTGCAAGTCACCTAGTATTTGTAAACAGATCAGAATATTTAATCAGCACAAAAAACACAGAAAAAGGTAGCCAGTATGTCTAACTTACGTAGCATAACAATAGTTTTTTCTCTGTAAATGATACAAATACCGAAAGTCAACTGGGATGCTAAGTACAATGAGAGTCGAAGTTGTGTCTCTCCTAGAATATATGAAGTTATTTCATTGCTAGCAGCAATAAAAGATGAAACTAAACATACCAAGCAGTAACAATATTGACAGAATTTAGTTCCTTTCTTGATAGTTGTTTTCTTACCCTGGTAGCTGCCAGCCTTTAAAAGGTCAGTGATGTAAGATATCAAACCATATAATCCCGAACTTCCCTCGATGAGCTGAAAGCAAATCGATACTATAAAACATCTAAGATATATAACGTTCAGCCTTTGGTAAGTATGAGGCTAGTCTACAGGTTTGTCAGGCGCGGAAATGTCTATGGGAATCTGAAACAAAGATGAATAAGTGTACTCATGAGGTGATGACTCAATAAACACAGCAAAAATTTATGCTTAATGATGATATCATGGTAAAAATTTTCAAGTCCTGGGTTTTCCTAAAGCTTACTCGTGTTTTCTGTACCATGGATTCTGTCCCGAGAAACATCCAGATTTTCCCAAACTATCTCAAATGACCAGCAAGAATAGAGAAAACAACGAAAATGATGCGCTAAAAAGTTTCCTTTTTGCCTAGTATGGAAAAGTGCAACATTTCCTGCTGTTGTCATTGTAGGTTTGAAACGCCAACGAATTATCTGCTTCTTGTATAAGCAAATACCAAATCTTCCTTCCTTTGCATCTGTTCACGTACAATTTCATGCACCGTTATGCACTGATTGCTATAAATGCTTCGTTTAAGACTCTAATGCGAACACGGATAACGGATCTCCAGCTACATGCAAAAGAACGTCATTCGAAAGGTATGTTAACAAATGGACATTGTAAACTAAGCGTTTCAACCCGTAACATCATTCGTATTCTTTAGGGAAACCTATTAAGTTATTTCTAACTGAATCTATCGCGCTGTCATGTAATTTAAAAGACATTTTAACGCGTTCTCCCCATATTTCGCTCCTAAATCCTTAATGATCCTTCAAATTGTTCTTATTGTGTTTTCTTTTACTTTTGCTTCAACCTTATTTTCGAAAAAGATTCCCGGTTGGGTAATGAAAGATTAACATGAGAATGATAGAAACACTAATACGGTGACTTAGTGGGCACATTAAGCACACTTACATATAGCTAGGATACCGATTGATAGCAATCAGTAATACAGTGCAACTAAAACAATTCAACAATTACAACCAGAACTGAGGCACGGTAAAGAAGTCCCTTCAAGGTCGCTGGCACGAGATTTAGAAACCGTGCATTCGAATAAGTTACGTTTAATGTGGTACCTGATGTAGGTCCAATATCTATCATAATTATGATTATCTTCTGTAAATCACAAAGTTTCTTCTGCCTAGCATCTCACTGTGAATACAAAGTTTCAAGTGTTCGATAGGCTTCAATATTGTTTGTAGGTGAATCACAACAATCCTAGTGAATATGACAGCCATTTTGTGAGGTTGGTTTAGCTTGAATTTATGCGAATATAGTTGTCTGTAGAGAATAAGGTTACTGAAATTGGCTGTTATATCTTTGATGCACAGGAGGTTGTTTGGTTGAAGTACATAGATTAAAATACTTCTCGCTATCTGTTTTCATTTTCAATTGCCAGCTTGGCTGAATACATCAAGGACGTTTAAGGCATGACATCACTGTTGTTCGTTACGCCTTTTTGATCATGAATCCAAAACTCAGTCAAATTAGAAGATAGGAATGAAGAATTTTGGATGTGGATTTGAAAATTATCCGATATGTCAAGAAGTGTTCGATCTAAGCTGGGTAGTTGTTGAGAGAGAGAATGGTCGGCTAGTGATTTGGTGAGGATCCTTGATCGTCCGCCTTCAAGCAGGGTATGTCTCATAAGACCAGTGAAGTCAACATCAATGTCAGAGACTAACAGATCTATTTCTGCCGGGATTTATGTATCCCCACATATCACTTCCTCTTGGTGTGGTTGTGATGAGCATAAGACGCGCACAACATACGTTTAAACTCAACGAGCCTGCCATTCCTACTCCTCCTTCTGATAGCTTGTTACGTCCTGAATCGCTTAATTACTTTTTCCCACTGTCAGTAAACAGAAAGTGCATAATAGTGAAAAATATACGATGGGAAATTCGGTTCAATTTATTCGTCTTCCGTTTCCCATTTTTCTTCTCAGTCGTCTTACAAATTAAAGAAACGTCAAAATATTTCTGTGTTTAAATAAGTAAGTACATTTGGTGAAAAATATCAGTATATCTGTGTGTGCATATCACAAAATATTGAGAAATAGTATATATGAGAACTTATTACCCGGTGCTTTTGTAAAAAAGCTAGTCACACATATAAATACGCATATAAATAAACGTTAATATATTTTTATTGGAAATGTTCAAATGTTCCGGAAACCGCACAGTTTTGTTACACATCAGTTTTCGAATATCACCGTAGTTCGAACGTGGTTATTAACTATCGGACATTGCACCTCAGTCGTTAGAATTTTGTCATCAGTTTGTTAAGTCCGAAAACCGATGACGAAGAGGTGACCTACCAAATAAGCTGCGTTTGTCATCTTTTGTTCCCTTCTTATTAGCAGCATAACACTTTGGTTGGCGATGGGGAACTTTATCATATTCTTCGTATGCGACTTCCGGAAGATTAACCTCAAACGTGTGTACTTAATATTAAATTGTGTTGGGCGAAATCACCGTTTGACTGAGGTCATGTAGAAACAAGTCTAACGAAACGCGTCTGCAGGCCTGGTCCTTCAAAAGTTTAGATCCACTTTCTTTGAAGGCCATCGAGTACATGGAAATTCTCCTCAAAGTTCAACCAAAAGTTAGAGTTAAATGAACTAAGAATTCCGAGGAACACGGGTTGAAAAGCATTAATCCATTTCGTTATACGTTTCAAGCTGTGAGTGAAGCTTTTATCTATCAGTGAAATCGTTCTTTCCACTCATTAGCTCGTGGTTCATCTGCCATCATTTTGAACTATGTGACCCCTGAGATTGTGATAAGACGACGGGAAAGTTTTGATTCGAACTGCCTTCTATGGTCTGTAGTATTAGATATGGGTAACCAAAGTTTCCTAAAAACTACTTAACAGAAGCACTGGCCACCATCATAACAATAATGTCATTGATAATTATTGTTCATGGTCACTGTATGGAATGGTTTATACATGTCAAGAGATAAGAGGATATATCTTAATACAGGTAGGGTCTGAGCAAATCGAGATGAACATATGCGAAATGGGTATTAGAAGATGCGAATGATCCTAGAAGACATTTACTACGTCTAATCATCTTAAATTTCTATCAGCTAACATAACAGCATACCCTTTCACACGTTTTTGTTCATACCACGTCAACAAAATAGTTTTGGTACGAGCTTAACGGTTACTCAAACATCTGGGTGAGGTGCGTGCAACGTATTGAATATGTCACGCCGATTTCTCGAAACGATTGAACGATCCATACTCTTAGATATGTTGGAAAATAAAGATTCTTACCTATTCCCATCAGCTTGGTCTAGCGTTGTAAAAAAACTAATGCTAAAGATCGGTGTCTTCCTTTTCAAGCTAGAAGAATGATAGTCTATCAATAAGAGCGAACCCACCAACAAACTATGAATCTGTAGGGTTGTTGTCTAGGTTCGTCATTAGTATGGCTATAGTGATAGAACTTATCCTAAAATTGCAGATTTGTTATGATGTGACAACTTAATCTATAAGATCTTATGTAGCGATCCCATGATTGTCTACCCTGGTTTGTTGAATTGTAAGAATCAGCAATATAACGTCTAGAGCCTCTGAGAAACACATTTTGGGCCAAAGATAGAATAATATATTTAATGTAAAGATAGTTCATACAGAATGACCACATCTAAGAGTCTGAACCGTGTCATCTAATTGAATTGAATGAAATCTTCCACGTTCTCCACTGTTAACCCTCTTCTCGTGTCAAGTGATTAAAATAAATCTTTCCAGTAATTATATGCTCGGCTTCAAAGGTTGTATGGTTTTAGTCCAGTGACACTAAAAGTTAAAAGTCCATCACTCAACACTCATTCAAGAAAACTGGTCATCACACTGACTCTTTCTATTATACTTCAAGTCATGAGACTACACAATTTATATGAACATGGCTAAACGATTTTGTGTCATAGCTACTGTTCGGTGAAGATATCCATTTAGGTGTGTAATCTCTATGGTAGTTAGGCAATACGTTTAACTAAGTTGATCTTCGTAAAGACAGTCGTAATTTTCATAGTAGCTGTCAGGTCATAGATTTTAGGCAAGAGGTAACAATGAGTAGTGGTTCCTGTATTCAGTCATCAATGATCACCAGTTGAACACCAATCATTGTTATACTTTTAAGCGACCATGTTCAAAATGGAATGCGAATGGGTTGTATAGTTGCCGGAGATTTCCAAGGTCTATCATAACCTCGAACTCGTTTTTACCCAGTCTTAGCTTTCGGGAGTTAGTAGGTGCACTGACAAAAATACGTGTGTCCCATAGTTGTTATATGCTGTACAACATTGCTGGTTTCGATCTCGTTTTGCAAAGTCTGGGGTACTCATCGAGTGTCTGTTGGAGGTGCTGATCGATTCTATGCTTCACTGTGACTAGGCATAAACTACAACCAGAAAATAAAATTCCATAAATACAATTTAGTATTTCTGTCTACTAACCTCAATTTTCTCGGAGTCAATGAGTAGATTATGGTGTTGTAGCAGGTTATTACATTGGTTAGTATGAAAACGTTTGGAACGACGAAAATCCAGCAAATGGGTTTGCGTAAATCCACGTTAATTTAAACACACATTTTACTGATTGTTGCAATTGTTTTTCCGCCTGCTGCTTGCAAGTCACAGACCTCATCTTTTGAACGATCAGTAGTATTTGCGAAAAGAACTCTTATTTCTGCTCTAGTGTCGACAAGATGGCGAACTTTTATTATTACATCAGTGATGTAAATTAGACGGTTTTGGAGTTTGGAAATATTCATGGTTTTCTGAATTTTCCAGAACAATTTTTACAGGTATTGTGATACCAACTCCAGTCGCGCTTATCTGCTTTTCGTGGTATAGAAGTAGATGTTTTTTGCAACTAGATTTTTCGAAGAGTTTTGTGGTGTTTGGGAATATAATGGATATGAAAATAACGAGTGAGACCAGTACAATAGACTGATCATTGAGTAGTGATCAATGTCATGTATGTCAGGTCTTCCTTAGTGCGGATCGAATCCTGTCGACTAGGGATGCAATCTGGCCCTCAGTCTAGTTGATTCAACATTGCGTGACACGGGATCGAATCCATTAGTGAGCATCAGTTCCCTCAAGATTACAGGTACACCTTGTTAACGAGGGCCAAGTAGCACAAAACCTAGGTCCAAAGTTTCCTGTTGACTACCTCCAACAAAGTGAGACTATTACCAAGACCTGCATTGTAAATTTGTGTCGTTTGAGTTTTTTCTTTGACAGTATAGACGTTGGTTCTGTGGGTTCTGGTGATCACCAGAATCGAGTTGTCATACACACCCTGATAGTCTAAGGCATTATTTTTGAATGTGACCAGAACCGCCTGAGTCTGTTGGTGAATCTTAAATGAGAAAATCTGTCCATACAGGCTTTCGTTGAATGTCTGTTGACTAGTGATCTCTCGCATTCGTAGAAACATTTGTGTTGGTGAGCCAAGTTATAGCTCGATGTTGTGAAAGAGTCGGTCTAATCTTTGTCCGTCGGTCAGGTCTTCACGTGTAGGAATAATAATAATTTTATATTCTGAAAAATAATAATTACAAAATTCACGCCAGTTTACAGGCATGATCAATTTGATATAAATAATAACGTTAGACGTGCCAAACAAACATATGATAAAAGAAAGTTTTAAGTATACTAGTTCAATAGTTGTTTAAGTAGTACATATTTTACAGCGATCCAAAGCATCAGCCGGGAATTTTTAATATTTCTTAAATGGATAGCCTGTTGATTTATGAACGGTGTTATTTAGGCCAATTCGTGTGCCAGATCGAAATAATGATAATTAAAACGAAAACAGAGATCATGGAACAACAAAAAAGTGATTACCAAAATAAGGTTCTGAAACATCACAAGTAAACACACTAGGTGTGACGTACCTGTAAAAATTGTGCAGCAGTACTGCTAGGAATCGCACGTTTGGTTCTATCATGCCGTGCTTTTGGAAGCTGGCTTCTGCACAGCAGAACCAGGATTGTATATCATCGAGTCAGAATGGCTTAAGTTGAAAGGTGGGAACGTTGGAGTCTTAGTT